GAACCTCCTTGGGACTATACTGGGACACATGCAATGCAGGGTCTGGGACAAAGGAAAGGCTGAATTGAGCCAATGCAGACCCAGCGAGGAGTGGCCAGCACTATAAAGGAAGCTGCCAGCCTCATTCCTCGCCAGATCTCCACTGGCTACAATGCGTGGAAGTGCTGTTGCGCTTGTGCGCTAGTCAGTAGGAGCTGCGCTGAAGAAGAAGATGCACTGGATACAGATTGTGCGCTGGAAGGGATGCAGCCATAGCTGCCCAGCGACGCTGATGAATAGTGACCACATTGATGACTTGGAGACAATCTGCAGATGTAGCGCTGATGTATTGGAAGCCAGATTGACGGGCTGACAAGGGATTTGCATTGCGCTGATGAGCGCTGGACTCCGGGAACTATGAAACTCTTTGTAATCATATTTTTGATAATATAAGCTTTGAAACTCAGTTCTCTTCTCATCTACCTTTGTCTATTGTGTGAGACTACTGATCAGTGTGTGCGAGTATGATGCATGACATGTACACACTTGAGTGAGATGGTCCCCAGGACCCATGCATAGCGAGGAGGCACGTAACGAGGAAGGAGGTAACGAGCAGGTAGGGAACAAGGAGGGAGGAGGTGACGAGGACAAGTTTTTCTTGTTTTTTTTTTTCGCGGCTTTCAAGGAGATAACGTGAGTCCCCGTGGACGTCGTGGAGAGAGGGGGAGGTAACATGGAGGGAACGTGGAGAGAGGAAGTAATGTGGTGTGAGGTGGTGTCTGGCGCCCAGCACCCAGCCTACTCTACTTGTCCTACCTATCCTATCTACATTCTTGCAACAGGCACACTTCGACTTCGAAGACCAATGTACATGACGTCAACACCAATGCCGACTTCCCACATAGACCTGCGCCTCCTCCTGAAAACCACCGTCGCCTTTACCTGCCCCTCGAGCCCTGCAGCCCGGCTATGGCCGCTAGCACCCCGCTGCCCTGCAGCGCCCCTCACCACTCAGCGCCCACGTGCACCCCAGCCAGCACTGGCGCATGCAGACACTCGAGCTGTCTTGCAGCAGCATGTCCGTATTGCCTGCCTACCGGTAGGCCAGAATGCCCTGGACTGGCTGGCCTTCTCCCTATATGGGAGGTGTTGCTGCTGCTGGACAGTCTGGGCCTGGCCGTGGGAAGTTTCCAGTAGCTTCTGGCTGGGCCCCAGTCTCTGCGACCAGGCCCATGTCTACAGTTGAGGGCCTGGGCCCTTTTCGGCTGGGCACCCAGGATTTTCCAGGCTCCGAATGTTTGCTGTGTTTGCAATGGCCTGAGGGGTAGATCTGACGACAATGCTGCATTCTCATTGGCCCGTCGCCACTTCGTGATGTGTCGGCCTCACACTGCGTGTGCCCAGGGCGCAACCACCTGCGTCCTGGGCGCAACTGCCTGGCACAGCTGCTTCTTCTGGAAGAGCCCAGGGTGAGGCCCAGGTTGCACTTCAACCAGCTGGCGTGCAGCAACTGTCTGAGACCCACATTGGAAAAATGCTGAGATAAGGGCCATTCGTGGATATTCAGGCCCGGCTTCACTTAGGGTGCGCACGAGGCTTGCTGGGGGCCACAGTCCAGAACATATGCATGTTGTCTAGGGGCCCCTGAGGACACATTCCTCACACTATTATGCGCTGATTTTTTATTTTATTTTAACCGGTCCGGGCATTTTTGGGCTCCGGTGAACCGGTCTGGACAGTCCGGGTCCGGTCCTGTCCGGTGGTCCTGTTATGTGCCTGATTGAAACGAGATACAGCATGGCATTCATCCGTTCCCATACACATGCGCAATGACAAGAGATCTTGGAGGGAGCAATTCACACCACACCGGATGAGAGAAAAACACAGCCGAAGCCTTTGAAACCAAAAATAGAATTGAAATGAATCAATTCCAACTAATAGCCCGCTCCCTCCAGCCAATCAACACTGTTTTTCCCAAGAATCCCAACCACGTCACTAACACCCAGAAACCAATTATTTACAAGTTTCATAGAGTAACCGGGAGTCTTCTTCTTCCTCCATCGCCACCAAGATCCATCTATGGCGCAGATAGCGCCCAAACCCATCCAGCCTGCTAACACCGCTCAACCCTTCTGCGCCCAACAGAATCGTCTGCAGCCCATAGGAAGTCCGCTAAAGATGATTGTGTCCACACAGCAGGGAGCACAGCTCCCAGGGTGAAGGACTCCAACTTCGAAGAGCATGTGGATGGAGAGCTTCAAAGGCAGTGATGTCAAACCCCAACAGGACACAAGAATGAGGAAGCGCTTTGCAGCGCCTGGCCTGGAAGGCCAGCGCTGAGTCTCAAGTAGTTGGCTGGCCTTGGCTATGGCCTTCAGCACCAACCCCGATGAAGATGGCTGCGCAGACAGAAAGAGCGCAGCAGCCTGAGCGTGACCTCCAGCAAAATCATAGGTACAGGGATCAACCCCTGGTGTCAGCAAAAACAACAAAAGTTAGAAAAACTAACTACTTACTTTTCAGCCTGCTGGAATCTGCAATTCATTGCAGTCCGGTACCTGTCCGGATTACCAGACGTCTGGACCGGTCCAGACATGTCCTGGTCCGAGTCCGCGGTTACCATCGTAGAAAGCCATATCACAATCCTTCTCAAAAAGTAGCCAGAAAACAACATTGCAAAAATCACCGAACAACAAAAATAAATTTCAAAATTTCAAACATCCTTTCCTAAGTTTCCTCACCTGATCCTGTTTGTTTTTTTTATACCTGAGTTAACTCTTCCCACGCAGAACTTCCTTTTGTATATGCCATACAGAGCACAGGCGGCCTTTTTTCTTACCATCTGTTTTATTCTGTTATCTTAATGACTAAATAAAACAGATCGTAAGAAAAAACTTCAGAAAAGGCTTGTTGCGGCCATCTCCGAGGATGAAGGTCAGAGGGCAGAAACAAAAGGGGGGGAAGGGGTTCCGGGACATATGTACAGGAAAGATTAAAGAGAAGAGAACAAGGTGTAGTAGGGGCTGTGTCTGGGGTTGGGGCCCGGGGGGGGGCACCAGGATGGGCTCGGATAAAAAATGGGGGGACACATAGAGAAGTTATATTATTCGGAGTTAGAGAGGGTGGGATGAAGAGGGGAGGGAAATAGAAAAGGAGGAAGAAGAGTGAAGCAGCAAGAAAAAGTTTGAAAGTGAACGAGACGGTTAGGCCATGCACACTAGGACTTTCTGCACAAGAATCTGGCCACATTTGCAGTCAGATACATCCAGCAAATCCTGCCTTCTTCCCCCAAATACAAAGTACAGTTTTAATGACTGTGCGTTGCATTCGGCGGACGAAGATAGTTTACATATGCCATGCCCTTAGACAGGAGAGAGGGGGAGAGGCTTGTTCATGCAAAAAGAATCAGGAACAAAGGGAAATGAAACAACATTCAACTGACCATTTCACCGCGCTAACTGCGTCGCCATATGCAGCAAGACAACGGCATCGAATCCCCGGATGGCTCAAGGCAATGGCATGAGCTGTCATGTATCTAATCACATAACCACCCAAAAGAAAAAACGAAAGAAAAGAAAGAAAAAATGAAAAGCGTTTCAAGAGCATCAGGTCCTCGTTTTTGGTGTCTCTCTCTCTCTCTCTCTCTCTCTCTCTCTCTCTCTCTCTCTCGCGCGCGCGCGCGCGCGCGCGTATATATATACTTTATTGTGAGGATTGAGCCCTCAAGTAGGGGCCTTGCCATGATGTACATGTTCTGGGCTAAGGCCCCAGCAAGCCTCGTGCCCGCCCTAAGTGAAGGCAGGCCAGCAAATCAACAAGAGCCCTCTGTGCAAACATTTCACGAAGTGGGGTCCGTACAGTTGCAGCACGCCAGTTGGTTGGAGTGCACCGAGTCTCGGATCTCTGCAAATGTGGAAATCCCAGGGCCTCTGAGTTAGTTAGGCCCTGGGCACTTGAACGTGAGGCCGACAATGCATGCTGGGTAGAGAGGCCGAGAATGCCAAAGGGAAATCCGCCCACTATCTGAATCTGGCCGCAGGCCTTGATGAAAGAGGCGCAACTGCATTGCCCCGGGCCTCAACTGTATCGGGCCTGGGTTCAGCCACTGGGGCCCAGACGCAGGCTGGAGGGAGGCCGCCCACACGCAACACTGGCATATAGGCAAGCAGGGCGAGCGGGCAGGGATCTTTTGCCAATGCAGGCATTGCCGGCAGGCTGCGCGAATGCGAGCTGCTGCGCGGTGTAAAGCTGCATTGGGCAGAGGGAGGCAGAGAGCGCTAATGCGGTGGTGCGCTGTCTGGGCGCAGGGCGCTGGCAGCCATAGCCAGGCTGCATGAGGGCGCAGGGGAGGTGAGGGCGAAGGTGGTTCTTCAGAGGTGAAGGGCGCTGTGTGGGTAACAAGGGAGAGTGTGGGTGAAGAGGACATGTACCTGGTGGAGGTGGAAGTCGGCATTGGTGTTGACATCATCACTCGCTAGTAGTCAAGTTGTCTGGTTGATTTCATTGCTGTAGTCGTAGGCTTAGTCTGTAGAGTAGATAGGGCGCCTGGCGCCATTCACAAGACAGAGCTACATTGGGTTATGCTGTTGGTGTTGCCCTGTTGGGCTTGGACATTGACGCACGATTCTTCTGTATCATTCTCAAATGGATGGTCACTCGGTTCCATTGTGCTATCTGCTCTGGCTTTGACTACTTGGACTTCAGTGTGATTTTGCATTCTGGATTTCTGTGCTTCGTCCATATTCATGTTCCTTGCAATTTGGTATCGGAGCTGGTATGATTCGCCACTTACCTTTGGCACGCTGGCGTTATACAGACTTGGTGCGTTGATGATGCTTCTTCGCAGTTGGTTCTTGTGGCGTCAGGCCATTGATAGGCGCACGCCCTGGGTAGAGAGGGGTGCGCCGGAAGGCTAAGACGGCAGTATATGCCGTGGTGACAGTAGGAATGTATGATTGGTGATGAGAGCATGCTGATGTGGCATTAGGCTGAGGTGGCACTGCATTGCGTTGTGGGTGGTACCGAGGCCAAGGACCGGTCATCAAATGCACACTCGGCTCAATTGGTGAGAAATCTGTGGTTGGGGGCAGCTATCTCCAGGTACGTTGTTCCCTTACCTTATCTACT